TCTAAGGATGGAGAGTCAGGCCGCCGTGGTCCTTTCTCACCCAGTGCGACCCAGTCCGTCAATTTGTGTTTCTGTGAAGTCCCAGCACAAGAAGTCTGGCCGTTTAACTCTGTCAGTCACTTCTCCCGATACCACCTCATATTTTCTCAACTTTGGCTTGATATTGGCTCCAGATGGGCGAGGGGAATACAGAGTGCAGCATATACAACGCAAGTGTATAATCACAATAAACTAATTCACCCTGCAATTTACCGTCTCTGCGCCCATCCTGCTGTGCGTCGTAGTCGTAAATAACAGCCAACTCTCATGTTACTTGAAAGAGACCTTGCTTAATATCCACCGTAATCTTTTATCGATGCCGACCCTCTTAGTGAGCTACTTGCTTTCTTCCTCTAGATTAGCTGTGTGCTGCGGAGAATTGCACGGCCCAGTCATGGTCTTTGACGTTGCAAACAGGCGTCAGTTGTGCAGTCAACAAGTAAATGACGAAGACGTTTACTGCGCGGCAGCTTTCTTCGCTGACAGCCGAAAACTGGCATTCGGTGGCATGAAGGGTGCCTTCTACGTCATGGTAAATCGTCGTTTTTGGATGTTCTTTTTGTTTTAACTTGTGTGCACAGACCCTTGCCAAGCCAGGAATAACTTCTAAAACCTCTTTTCTATGCGTATTCTCGTCTTTAGATTTCGCGTACTCTAGATCTAAATGCTTAAGGCCGTTTTAGATAAGCTTACTTGGATTGGTTTTACCCCGTGCCTTTGTACTTAATATCAGAACTAATAATTGTGGTTGAACAAGTTACACTGTTCTATAATTGGAAAGGATTAGGAAGATGCTAATTGAACACTTACAAACAAAGTCTCCAAGCTTAGAAGCAGTGAGATAAAGGCAGTTTACGCGGGAACAAGATAGGGAATTAAGACAACTAATAAGATATTTAGAGGAAGCAAGAGGGCTTAATTGCTCAAAAGGAGACAATCGATCATATAATAAACAGAAGGGTGTTGACGAATATAAAAATTTCATATGAATGGTTTTATTATTAACACCAAAGGTATAAACGGTAAGGTAACGAATCTAGTGCTATTAGGAGGCTAATAGTTACGTTACCGTCAAATGGGTGAAAGAAGAGGCAAGAAGAAAGTCTACGTGAGACAGTACATCATTGATTAATTAGGAAAAAACAGGTGAATTTGCATATGCCCTCGGCAATTTTTCACGTCGCTGTGCTTATGGAAAGGTAGTGCTGTTAAAAGCAATAGAGTCTGGGATAAATATTTATCGAGCAGTAGCAGATATGATCGCTGGGAAAAGTGTTTTATTCGTCTGCCGTTTCGAAAATCCCTACGGATCCATCGCGGACTCGCATATTCGCTTGTATTGACAGTAAATATCTCTCGTTTACTTCCGCCCTCTGTCAGTCATACCACCCACAGGATATAAAGGATCGAGCCTTGGACTCAGGTTAAATTAATGCCTTGACCAGACAGTACCAGTATAGGCAAGGACCTCTATGCTGTCGCCTACTATGAGCTACTTCCACGGTCGCATAGCATTATTACTCATCAGTCAAACGTGCTTATTGTTATTGCTATTTGGACGCGTCACCAACTATGTGC